ACTGCAGCTTTCAATGTAAGCGAGATCATTGAACGTCCTGAAACTGGCAGCACTGGGGCTTGATGGTTGAAAGGAAGACTGATTCTTTTCCTGAGGTGACCTGTTCGAGTTGCACCTGGGTGGCGGTGATGGCACCGAATTCAGCAACAACATTGACGGCGGATTGTGCACTTCAACAACTACGTTTTGCCTGCAATAGGTGATTAAATCACTATAATAAATGCAGTGTATATTAATTTTTAGCTATCCTGTAGCTGATTGTAAATGTCTACCTCTCTTAAAAAGAATGAAAATTGAGAGAAATTCTGACTCCTGCACCTCCACTAAGTTAGAAAGTGAGGCTTCCGGAATTTTTGCTCCGCAAGATTCGAATTGATATCGAAGCTTTACCAGAATTATTTGCGTATGCGTAGGGTTTTGCACAACTGCATCTGGCATGGGAAAGCATGTTCCCAATAAAATTACTAACACAGAATTCTCACACCGACTGTCCGGTCAGTCTTGTTATTCTCGGTATTTTCACTTGCACACCACTCAAAAGTCCATATTCGCTGCTTCCATGAATCAAATAAGCTAGTTTTTTTTCGTTATTTTTTGGTTTTATCATTTACATTCTGCCGCACTGAGAGGTGGCATACATTCTGAGATTGAAAAATAAAGATATTCGATGGCTTCAGCTGTTGCATCGAAACATTTTGTGTGCTAGCACTGTTAATGTGCTGCACAGGCATTTAATCACTTTACCTTGATAAGTTGGTCAGATGCAATTTTGACTATAGCTTTCACTACACAATTAGCAAATTATCCATTTGCTTTAACCAATGTTGCTTGCTAGCCGATCAGCGTGCTGACGATCCTAACATTCGTTTCGCCCCCTCAAAGTTGAGTCAAAAGTCATTGCGCTTGACAAATAGGAGAAATTTTGAGATAAATTCGTGTTAAGCAGCTTCACGATGGAGGGTCATTAAAGGAAAAAAACAGCGGAAGTGCATTAGTCTCGCTTCCAAATGAGGATGCAAACAGTAAATCGAATTGAGAAGCTGTAATTCCAACTTTTGACTAGTTTTGGGTGTAACATAACGGGAGTTTTCATTTAGAACAGTACTAA